GACCTGAGTTTAATGAATAAATTATTGCTTGAAGATAAGGAATGAAAATTTTCCTAAAAATTGATATTACAAGAGATAATGAATTGCCACAGGGTAATGTTCAAAAGGTAAACACAGGGACTCCACACAGGCCTGTAGCTAGACTCAGAGTTAGGGAGGCCCTGTCTTCCCCTGCAAGACAAAATCTGGGACTTATATTTTTCATGAATAGCCACTAAAAGCAGGGGAAATATTGTCTCCCCACCTACATACTATAATCTGGCATAGTCTTTATTTTAATTTTAATTCTGTTCCTGTTTAACCTATGTATGCATGAGGAAAATAAGCCAAACATGCTCCTCCTCATAGTCATTTCCTCCATTCTCTCTGTTATTTATTTACTTTTTCCAATTTGGAAATACACATAAATGAACGTCATTACTTTAGTCTTCCACAGAAATGCTGTCCTTGAGTTATACATATTTTAATGCGATTCTCTAGGATGTTGTCAAAAATTGATTTTAAAAATTTCCAGCCATACGGAGAGCCTCTTGGCATATTTCGTAAAAATCACTGTTGAAGATTTTATTCATTTTATGTTTTCCAGTTATGACTTGTAGAAAGACCTATGCTAAATAGTTCCTTTATAATTTAGCATAGATAAACTTTGTCTTTCACCTCTGAACTTATTATCAGACAATAAAAATCTAAGTTTCATTTAGCAGAGACCTCTGTTGATTTGTTCCCCTTTGTAAAGCCCAGGACAGTGGCTTGCATATAGCAGTGACTCTGCAAATATTTGTTGAATGAATTGATTCAACCATAATTTCTCCTTTTATATTGGTTGCAAAGAAGCTTAGGGCTAAATGCAGTAAGTGTAATAGAGCATGTGCTGGTATATTTATTGTCTTTAACAATTCTGATTTTTATGTTTTCAATTTCTATTTAACAATCTCCTTCAATGTATTTTAATTATAAAACACTGCCAACTCTTTCTGAAAACTGGTATAGGATGTCATAAAAGAAAAACATTTTATTTTCTAGATAATTAAAACCAATGTTGTCTGATTTCATTTTATAAAATATCTAACAACTTATAAAATTAAGTACCTTTTTATTGGAAAAATATATAACCACTTTTTTGAAGCATGACCAAACTTTAAGACAGAAAAACAACACAATCAGAAAATATGTATGTATTATACATATGTGTGTATACACACACACACACACACACAATATACATATATATGTATATATATACTGGATAAAGAAAAACCATAGTTGAACTTAATTTTTTTCATTAGAATACATGAGGTGCATACACACACACACGTATATAAAAGAAAATGTTGCAAATTTCCAGAGGTGTTAAACATTTGCTATTTAAAAACTTTCAGAAAGACAGTTTAATTTTAGCAATTTAAAACAATGAAAAGCCTGGAAAGCCCTAGCTTTGTGGGTTTGTAAAACCTGTGTTCCCCAAACCTTTCTGTGGGTGTAGAGACAGACCAAAATCTAAGCCCCAATCTTATACCGATGAAGGGAGAATAACATTAAATGAACTGTTTAACTCATCTAACAGGTATCCTGTCACTGAGCTTTGAAACAAAGAGATCCAAAGCCCTTTATTCAAAACTCAGTAATGCCTTGGGTCTCATTAAAGGAGACTGGGCAGACTAGAGACCCAAGTCAGACGCAACCAGAAAGTAATTCTGGCAGGGATGATTGAGCAAATTCTTTGGTTTCCTGGTACTGACTACATTTATGTGCCTTTGAGGATCATGGAATTTACATCTCTGAGCAAGTATACCACACTCTAGTCTACTGCACGTATTAGTTTTGCTGAAAGTATTGCTCCCTTAGTTTGCATTTATCGCACTTTTTGGTAATTCACCTCCTGCTGATCCTTGCTGGGATCTCTTTTAACTGATATTAAAAATGAGATACAATCAATTTATTTTAACATTTAGGCTTTCTTTCAAAAAGATCTCCATTTTTAAAATCAGAAGCATGTTACTGTATTACCAGCTTTTAAAGTAGGCTCAAAGAAAAAACTGGGAGGGATAGGTAAAGGTTTTTAATCTATAGTATTAATGACATATGAAGGACAAATGAGAGTGTGTCAGATCCTTACTTCCCTCTGGTGGGAGAGTCCATGAATGTGTGTCTAACAAGGGAAGTGGCTGTGTGACATTAAACGAGCTATGAACACACAGCAAACTTCGAGGAATAGGAGGTAGACGGCTCCTGTTTGCCCTCCTTGGACAGATTTAAGCATGTGAAGTAGAAATTAAGAGGACAATGACACATAGACTATTTTGTTCCTTTTAGTTTTTTCCAAAGTTTGTGTCCCCAAATTCAGGAAACTGCAAATACTATTGGAAACTTGGAAATGTTGAGGAACATGACTATTATTTAAATGATTTCTAAAGAGGGTATACATTGTATTCTGATGAAAATATTAATGAAGATAAAGATATCTAAAATAATTTTTTTGAGAATCTTGAAGTATGCAATCAATGTTTAATTAGGACTTACAAGCTTCAATTGACATTATCTTTGTTCCTGTCTTAAATTTGGATTTCAACAAACATGTATTTTTAAAATTTACTTTTATCTTAGAAGTTTTTCTTTGGAGTTTGCAGGATAAATCTGATGTCAAACTAGAAGATCCTGGACTACACTGAGTGACAGAAGAGTTTTCATTTGCATGTATTTAAAAATATAATCTTTTTTTCCCCAGATGCCCAAGAAAGCAATAAGATAGGGAAAAAATGCCAATTCAGAACAGTGACACTGAACATTAGAGATAATCTGTTTGAAACCAAATGTACATATAAATACTTTTTGGAATAAAAATTCAATTCCCAAATCTCTTTGAAAATGGGCAAAATGTTAACATGCATATGAATGACCTTGAGAGATTGGTAGATTCTATTATGATATGTATTGGAACAATTTTATAAATGCATATATTTTTGTATATTGACACTCATCAACCTGAAGAGTTCTTGTTTCAGGAACAAAATTCTCAGGGAGAGGTTTGAGTGCAAAACCTTTTCTATGAGTGCAAAGATGGATGGTTCACTGAAGAAGATAAGCATAAATGCTCCATTTTTGAAGATTTTTCCAAATGAATTAGTTTGCAAAATAAATATAAAGGTATTTTAAATGGAGTTAGTAGCAGTGGCTTATCATAATGTAAACATATAATTGTTTATAATAAACGTGTAAAATTTACATTTATTTTCATTTAAAATTTAAAATATACACAATTAGCCTCAGACTTTGATTTTTCATTATCTTTTATTATTTTTAATAATATTTCTGTGAATCAGCATATCACAAAGTACATTCTTGGAAACATTAGTACTGCAAAACATGCCACAAAAATGTGTTATTTATCAACCAATTTTGTTAAAAAGCTGTTTATTACAAGGAACTATTTGTAATTTTAAAGGTATGATTATAGTGTTATAATTTTTGTTAAAAAATGATTGATTTTTTTTCATGATGCATACTAAAGTATTTATGAAAGAAACAATGACATTTCCAGGATTTGCTTCCATATATTATGAAAGCAAGGAAAAAGGATAGGGATGAGGACAAGGCTGGATTAGGCATGGATTAGTCACTGGACTTGAATGATGAGTACATATGAGTTCAGTATGCTATAGAGCCTATATTTGTATATTTTACCTTTATTAGAAATTCTCCACAACAAAAAGTAAAATAAATAAATAAAAGATGCATATCTCTTAAGTATTTTATAATGAATATAAAAGCTGTGAGAAGTTCTGGGTAGAAGATCCATTTGTTTATATGCGCTCTTCCAAACTTACAGACCACTGAACTATACTTTTCAATAAATATCTAAAAATATCTCTCCTGGATACTTTGGGAATGGCTATATGATAGTAGAACCAATGTTTTTACATGTATAATTGCCCATGATAATTTCTGTCTTCTAGCACATAAAAAATTCCATCTACATACTGAAAAACATTAAGATAAAATACGGAAAATGTTTATAAAAATAATTTCAGTTTCCAAATTCTAAGAGATTTCAGATGTCTGACATGTATTGACTAATTGTTTTTTCAATTTCATAGACATTTATCCTGTTGTTAAAGTAAATAAAATTTCAGAAAGTAAAAATAGATGGTAGTATATTTTTTAAAAGACAAGGAACAACTCTTTTTGATTCAATAATTGCCACAAGTCTAGATATGACTGCTTAATAGCTAAATGAAACGCTCTGCTTAAAAATCTTCACATATCGTTATCAACCTCAGTAATATTATTTACATGTTTTATCCCAAATTTCTATAAAATTTAAGAATCTGTTAAAATTTCAATTGTATATCCATGAATTGTATACACATGAATTATTTCTCACTCTAGAAATGTTAGATTAGCTAGAGACATTCTTCAAAGTGAAATTCTATAATTGCTAAATATGATTTACATTTTATACAAAATTCTTTATAATTTGGCATGTCTGAGAAACTACATTTTAATTTCAAAATAAGTTAAAGGAATTTACTATTAAAAAAACTTATACAAAACATTTTAACTTTGCATCTAAAGACAACCAGCATTACTATTTGTAGCTGTCCTTTCTAGATCTTTAGAGACTAGCAAACTTTTCATTGTTGACTTTGATGGAAATTTAAACAAGAACGTTTGCATTTATTACAATATATTGTTAAAAATTGCATTGATTTCCATTGATACTATTAATTTGATAAATGTTTTGTTATTTGTACCATTTGCTCTGTCAGAGCAAGCTAATTATATCTTAGTGACATTTTTGACGATTACTTTAACTATGGCAAAAAAAGGTAGGTCTTCTTTGCTTCAACAAAAAATTATTGAACGCCTGAAATAAGCAAGAGAAGACTAGCACATGTTAGAAGTCTTGTAAGGTTTGCTTTGTAATAAGTGGTAAACAGCCATTTCCCAGGACTTTCTTTTAATAGACATGCTCACATTTTGTAGTAGGAAATATTATGTACCTGCATAATCTGTTCTTGCATAATGCCCATCTTCAGACTTAGTTGTTGTAGTTGTGTTATCTGTGTAAAAAAAATTAGCAATAAAAATTAATTGTTTCATGAATACCTAATGTTAAACATATATTTCCTCCAACAATAATATCTTCATTGCAATTAAGGAATTTTTACAACTGTACTTCTAAGCAACCTGTATGCAAAGACAGATTTACAATGTCAATTTCTGTTTGAGAGCAAATAATAGAATGATGATAGTTTTCTAAAGTTTGAGACAAGAAAAAGATTCACAATTTTAACTGAGAAAAATTGGGCAAAGGAATAACAAATCAAAAACTAACAAAATGCTTGCTTCTGAACAAGAAAGACAATAGAACATTCTAGTACCTTTTGCTTTTAGAAATGCATTTTAAATATTTGTACTGAATCAATACATAAAAATGGAGTTATTTGCTTTTAATTTCAAGAATGTCTAATAAATTATTAGATTCTTTTAAAAAATGTTTTTGACTTTCTTTTTTCCCTTGGCAAGAAAAATGTCTGCTATTTTGTGAAGATTAGCTTCTGTGTTTGTGGCATTGTGACAACACAGTTCCATTGTATAGAAACAGATCTGGACAGTAGTTGAGAGCCCCTCAAACTCCTATAATCGACACAAATACTACAGTAGACTCTACTGTCTATTATAAATAAAAACTGCCTTTTGGAAATGGAATAGCTGTCTAATAAGGAGTTTTCTTCACTTTTCATTTTTGCACGAAGGCTAAAAACATTCTTTGAAATGAATTTTGGTGTGAATATTACCTTGGCATCGACCCAAAGACATGACTTCAATTTTCTCCTGTTTCTGACACGATGCTTCTTTGATTTGACATGCATTATCATAAGATTTCCCATCAGAAGCACAGAGGGGATTGAAGTTGGTTTGAGAACAGTCAATGTTACACACACACCTAAAAAAAAGAGATAAATAAAAATATGTAACACCAATAGTGTTGTTACCACATTGTAAATAAAACACAAATGAAAGAATTGCTAAGTTGACAAAATGCAAGTTGGTAAAATTGAGTTGTATCTTTCCAGAGAAGTTCCTCCACTTTTCTACCTGAGAAGAAAAGAAACACAGAACTAATGAAAAATAATTCAAAAGACTGAGCAATGAATGAAAAATGAAAAGGGGCCAAGTGCAGTGGCTCACCCCTGTAATCCCAGCACTTTGGGAGGCTGAGGTGGGTGGATCACGAGGTCAAGAGATTGAGACCATCCTGGCCAACAGAGTGAAATCCCATCTCTACTAAAAATACAAAAATTAGCTGGGTGTGGTGGCCAGGCGTCTGTAACCCCAGCAATGTGGGAGGCTGAGTCAGGAGAATTGCTTGAACCCGGGAGGTGGAGGTTACAGTAAGCCGAGATGGTGCCACTGCACTCCAGCCTGGGTGACAGAGACTCCATCTCAGGGAAAAAAAAAAAAAAAAAAGAAAGAAAGAAAGAAAAAGAAAGGAAAAGAAAAAACTAAAAGAGGATGGTCAGTTAATCACTGTCCTGTAACTTTTAAAACATATACATAAATTTCCATGCTGATGTCTGCAGAATATGAATAGGCTGAAGTAGTCATGAAACTCAGATTTTTTAAAAATTGAATCTTACTGTTCCTTCTTTTCTTGAGATATTTGAATGGTTAAAGCTTGTGGAAAACTGACTCAGAAGACAGTTCAGAGAAAGCAAACAATTATTTGGCAAGCAATCAGGAGTGATATTTCTTTGGTATAAATAAGGATGCACATAAAATGTACTAAATGGAAATCTTCAGTGATCTTTCATATTTTAGGGGGGCATAAAACCCTTTGGAAAAGTGAAAGTATGAATCTCTCCCCAGAAATGACCATATTCATATAAACAATGCTTCTGTATACAATTTCAGGCTTGTCTTAGGCCCCTGTCAGCATATATGAACCCCTTTCCCAGGTATACACCACTATTTTTCTACCTCTCATTTTAAATAATAAAATAATAAATAAAGGTTGATTGCCACTCATGATGTTAATATTTTTCTATAATCTAAACAAAAATTTGGTGATTTAATGAGAACTAGTTTACCTAAACTAGAAGAATTAAACATTTTAAACCAAATTTTACATGATTGTTCCTATGTCTTCATACTTCTCTATTATTCTGAATATTGTGTCTTGTGTGTTTTTTTGGTGTGTGTGTACAAACATGTTACAACTTTAAAATATAAACTCATATTTTAAATTTTTATTAATATTTGTGATGTTTTTGTAAATAGATTATACGTTTCTCAAAGTCATGAGGCACACATTTTTACCTCTATATATCTTACTGAGCGTTAGGCACACAATGGCAAGCAGGTTACTACATGCTAGACTCTCAACATGCATTGCTTTATTTAACCCTCACAACAGCTGTCTTACAGACCAGCGATATTACCTAAGGTTAGACAGTGGTAAATTGTGGAATAAGGACTCACTTACAGATTTGTGAAGCTAAAACCCAACCCCTTCTCTCTAATACCACAGACTGTGTGTTACTAGAATCTTCTGGAGAACTTTTAAATATCTAGATTCATAAGCAGATTTCTGGGCCCCAGTAAATCTGGGGTAGCTGCTAACATTTTATATTCGTAAGTAGTCATCCTGGCACCAGACTCAATTCCTGGGATTCACTGCTTGATCAGTCTGTTGATTGAGTGAGAGAGGGTTTGTCTACACACCAGTGCATCTCAGACTGTAGTCCTTAGACCATCTGTGTCAGAATTACCTAGATTGCTGTTTAAAAATGTTGGCAGAAAATGTGATAATGAGCTTTTTTTTTTTTTTTTTTTTTTTTTAAGAGAATTGCTTTAGGAATGCCTGGTTATTTTTACATTTACCTATTTAGGAACAAATAGGTAGAACAGATGGCAACCATCTCTAAACACTTAACTCATTGAGGAGCGGTGTTCCTACCTCAGCTTTGACGTTGTCATGTGATCACAAGCAATGGAACATGACATTGCTACCTCAACTGATTCTTGGCATCTGAAAATCTGAGATCAGGAGCTGCCTACGTGTTCAAAGAGCTTCTGGTCCTTACAGAGTGGATGTGGAGAAGTGACTATGTAGGCCAAGCCTTAACTGTTGTACTGAATAAATAAGGAGTGGAGGTTGACATTTGCGTTTTTAAAAAGGTAGTTTATTTTGCCTTCCAACCACTTTAGATTCTAACTGTTGTTGTGTTAGACTCTAGGAATTATCTCCTTCAATGTCTTTTATAAGGTCATTTGTTCACAACGGACAAACAGAGAGAAAGGTATGTTCTGTCATTTAAGTAAATGGTAAATTAGATAAGATATCAGTCCAAAGAAATTTAGAAAGGTACACCATATATATATATATATATATATATACACAGACAAAAAATAATTGGCAGTTCAGAAACCCATTTGATAGCATGATAAAATGGCGCAAAGGGAACAGAGATGGTTATTTGGTTTGTCTGTGTCCACACCAAACTTTCATCTTGAATTGTAGCTCCAATAATTCCCACATGTGTGGAAGGGACCTGGTGGGAGATAATTGAATCATGGAGGCAGGTTTTTCCCACACTATTCTCATGATAGTGAATAAGGCTCATGAGATCTGATGGTTTTATAAAGGAAAGTTTCTCTACACAAGCTCTCTTCTCGTCAGCTGCCATGGCTTTCACCTTCCACCATGTTTGTGAGGCCTCCTTACCCACGTGGAACTGTGAGTGCATTAAACCTCTTTCTTTTGTAAATTGCCCAGTCTCGGGGGTATGTCTTTATCAGCAGTGTGAAAACAGACAAATACAGAGAGAAAGATAAAAGTTGATCGAATTAGACTGGTTAGTATCAATGTTTCAGTGAAAAATTCACTTAAGGTTTAACACCAAATTGAATAATTGTGCAGGCTATTTTACAAGATTCTCCTTTTCCAATCGGTATATTTATTTTATTTTATTCACTTTGACTAATCTGGTTTTAGTTCCACAGCTTTTCTGCTGCTGATAGCCTCTCACCTTTCCTTTCCGAGTATTGCTCACTCAAGGTCTCCTTTCAAGATTTGCTTCCTCTGGAAATTCCTGACTCTTGTTGTCTCAAATAAAATATTTCATGGGATGGCTAAGAAACAGGTATAGACAGTTGGCGTTTTTATTCTCAGCCCAAGAGGAGGACATAGATTAATTCCTCGAGGTGAAAGTTTCCCAGGGATATAAGCTTCAGGAAAGCATGGATTATATTGGTCTTTTTCTCGATTGCCTATTCTCATCATTAACCCCCATCTTTGCTCCCTACTTTATATACTTTTAAATATTAAATAAATGCAAGAGTAAATTTTAGAAAACTCCCTACAACTCTCAGCAATCATTGGAAATTGGAAGTCTATGGAGAATATATGTAGTTTTTGAATAAGTGGAAGTAACTTCAAATTTTGCTAAAATGGCTTGAAAACAATGAAGCTGGCTGGGCACAGTGGCTCATGCCTGTAATCCTAGCACCTTGGGAGGCCAAGGTGGGAGGATCACCTGAGGTCAGGAGTTCGAGATCACCTTGGCTAACACAGCAAAATGCTGTCTTTACTAAAAATACAAAAATTAGCCAGATATGCTGGCAGGTGCCTATAAACCCAGCTACTCAAGAGGCTGAGGCAAGATAATTGCTTGATCCAGGGAGGCAGAGGTTGCAGTGTGCTGAGATCCTGCCACTGCACTCTAGCCTGGGTGACGAGTGAGACTCTGTTTCAAAAACCAAACAAAACATAAAAACAATGAAGCTTGGGTAAAAGAAAATGGTAATAAATGATCAAGGACCCACCATTTATTTCTATGTTTCCAAAAGACCAATGGACTCTGATTACATAGTCCATGTAATATTCCGTGTAGTATTCCATGTCCGTGTAGTATTCCATGTAGCTATGTGTATTAAGCTTATTTAATTAGAAAAACATGCAGGATTCCAGGACCATGGTCTGAAGCTCTAAGTCCATCTTGATCTCTATTTGCAGTGACTGAATTACCTCTGCATTCCCCAACCTGCTCAGTACCTTGTACACATGAAACTTTCAATAGCTACCTGTTGAATAGATAACTAAATAAAATGAATGAATACACTAACAATTTTACATTCTTTTTTTTTTTTCTTAGATGGAGTTTCACTCTTGTTACCCAGGCTGGAGTGCAATGGCGCGATCTCGGCTCACCACAACCTCTGCCTCCTGGGTTCAGGCAATTCTCCTGCCTCAGCCTCCTGAGTAGCTGGGATTACAGGCACGTACCACCATGCTCAGCTAATTTTTGTATTTTTAATAGAGACGGGATTTCACCATGTTGACCAGAATGGTCTCGATCTCTTGACCTCGTGATCCACCCGCCTCAGCCTCCCAAAGTGCTGGGATTACAGGCGTGAACAATTTTACATTCTTAAAGAAAGGCGGTTGCTGTTACTATCTCCATCTTACAGGTAAGAAAATTGAGACTCGGAGATGTCTCACAGCTTGAAAATGGAAGAGCCTAATTTCAAATCTGGGCAGTCTGATGCCAGAACCTGTTCTGTTCTGCATACTGAAAGTACAAAGAAAGACCCACATTCCTATCATTCCCTGATTAAAGGAATCCTTTGAGTAAATAGGATTTGAAAAACAAGATTATGTCTTCTCTTGGAGTACCAAACATTCACGATTTTATGAATTAAATCACATTGACTCTTGGTCTTTGCCTTTCTCAAACAAGTAATCCAGGACTTTTTTTTTTTTAATCATTGGAATATATCAGTGAATGTTAGTTTTAAGATACTGCAAACTAAAACCTGGTTTTAGAATTAGTCACTGATTTTATGGGCATTAGATTAATCTGACTATCTAAAGAATCAGTTGCTCAAAATATTTTATCCTTAAATAAAATGCTATAGAAACATCCACAGAAAAACAAGTATTTA